GTGTGTTAAACAGTTTCAGTACAGTTGTGTGTCGTGCTGTGTTCAGGCCTCAGTGTGTGAGAGAGACAGTGTGTTAAACAGTTTCAGTACAGCTGTGTGTCGTACTGTGTTCAGGCCTCAGTGCAGTGCTGTTTGGGGGCCAACAGGAGCTGGTGGGCTTAACCAACATTCAGGACTTCTGACCAAGGTAACCTCACAGCGCCTCTCACCCACTAGACCCCTCTTCACACTAGGGGTCCATCCTTTTCTGTTCATCTCCATTCCAGGAGAAATTTTACACCAGCAGGTTTACCACTTTTTCATTGCTTTTTCTGGACACTCCACTCAAAGAGCCTTACAGGTAATGGGGATCCCCTCCACCACCAGTGTGCAGCCCCACCTGGATGGTACTTTGGCAGCCAGAGTGCACCAGTACACTCATCACACATCAGCTATCAGTGGGGAGGAGAACAGAGTGATGAAGCCAGTTCAGAGATGGGGATTATTAGGAGGCCATGATTGGTAAAGACCGGGCGTAAATTTGGCCAGGACATCAGGGAAACACCCCTACTCTTTTTGAGAAACACCCTGGGATTTTTTAATGACCACAGAGAGTCAGGACCTCGGTTTTACGTCTTATTGGAGGCACATCGCCTTTTTTTCAGTATAGTGTCCCCGTCACTATACTGCGGCATTAGGACCCACACAGACTGCAGGATGAGCGCCCCCTACTGGTCCCACTTACATCTCTATATACTGCAGTGCTGTAATGTGTTGTGTCAATGTACTGTACTGTTGAGCAGTATGGGGTTGTGTTGCTTTCCAGTGTCAGTGTGTTCCTCAGTGCTATGTTGTGTTGTGTGTGGGGGTTTGCTGTCATGTGTCAGCATGTTCCTGAGTGTTGTACTGAGTAGTGTTGTTATGTTTGTGCAGTATGGGGTTGTGTTGTTGTATGATGGTACTGTATATTGGTATGTACTGCAGTGCTGTACTGTGTTGTATTGCTGTGTTGTTGCAGGACAGCAGGTTCGTGCCTGTGTTCAGGAAACCAAGAGGGAACGCATCCTCTCTCAGGGGGCAGGTAGGCTCTACAGGCTATGAGCCCGGGTTCGGGGCTGTGTTCAAGAGATACAGGGGGCCACTCTGGCTTTTTCTTTCGTGTGTTGTCCATTTTCAGCTGAGTTCTCAAAGCATTGAGCCGAGAGACTGTGTTTAATTTAGATGATAAAATGATTTGTGATTGTGTTTGTAAACTGTGATCAATTTATGAACATTTTACTATTTTATTTTCAGTGCTCAGAAGCATTTACATTATGTAAAACTGGAGTTAATTACTTGTTGTGGTTCCCCCTCAGGTTGTGCAAGTGGATCGCTCCGTTGCAGACATCATCTCGCCAGCCCATCCAGCTCCGGCAGACCCTACCACCATGTGTGAAGACTCGGGGGTGCCAGGCCATGCTTCAGAGAGGGGGGAACATATCGAAACAGATAGCAGTGGGGGACTAAAGCAAGAGTACCTTGCAACAACGCCCCGCCCAGAGGCAGGAGGTCCAGCTGCCCCTCACCGGGGCAATAGGCTGGAGAACTCTGGGGCTTCCTCCTCTGAATCCATGTGCACCCTTCTGTCTGCTCCGCAGGAGGTTGCTGCTCAGGGATCTGGGGGGGCACAGGAACAGGACCCCAGCCACAGGGCACCTGCACTAGAAGATATTTCTGGGGCCACGCAAGGGGGTGCAGGGCAGGAACATGCCTTTCATGTGGAAGAGATGGCGTGCAGGACAGCAGAGGAGGGCTGGTCCACAGCTCCGGGCCCACACAACCTGGCATTACACACTGAGACACCCGCTGGAGACACCCAGACCAGCCTGACACTCTCGCACCCGCCCCAGCACAGCCACCCCGCGGGGGACGGGCAGGTGGGCGCAGAGCAGCGGGGGGTAGATGACAAAGAAGCTGGGGTGGCAGAGAGGACTGACCCAGCAGGCTTAGAGAGTGCGCCCCGTCCCGATGAGGGGAGGGTGGCGAGCCAGCTCGAGGGACAGAGGTGCACAGAGTTGGCAGGGGAAAGATCGAGCCACTGTCCCAGAGAGACAGGATACAGAAAATCCAGGAGGGGCGACTGGGAGTTGGGAGAGAGCAGGGAAGAGCCGGAGGGACAGGCCGAGATCCACGGGGGCCCGGACTGGAGAAACGGAGCCACAGAAGCAGAGGAGGAAGACCACAGGAAGGAGGAAGTGGAATCAGCTGGCTTCCTGGTCTACAGGGAGTGGACATGTCGTTTTGATCCGTGCAGCGCTGAGCCAGGTGCCGTCGCTCTGGACAGAACCCTGCGAGTGCAGCGCGGCGGTCCCTCTGCAGAGGGGCCAGGAAGCCCAGCCTGCGCCATCCTGGGAAGCGGGACTGAGGCTGGAGCTGAGCCGGGAAGCTGTATCACAATCCCGCCTCTTTTCCTCACAGCGGGATCTAACCACCTTGTTTCGGGGGGAGTGAAGGTGACCTCTGAAGCCCTCGTTGCAGCTGGGGTTGGATGGGGCACACCTGACGCCCGTATGAGGGAGAAAGATGCGACTGGCAAAGCTGAGCAGAGCAGAGCTGGGGGTACCCCTCAAGACCCTGGCCCAGACTCCTCACCTGTGGCGGTGATGAATGTACGCGCCAAGGTCAACCTCACTTTCTCTTCGGAAATTGGGGTACAGTGCTTCCAAAGAGGGGCGAAGGGCCCCCCTGATATCATGGAGGGCCTAGCCAGGGGGTTCTGGAAGCCCTCCTTCAGCAGAGTGGCGGCGCACAAGCAGGACGTCAGTGAGGTGTATCGTCTGGAGGACAGGCACCCTGGGAGGAGAGTGGCTCTTGGGCACTCTGGGAATTCAGGCCTGGTGTCGCCCAGCGCCTGGGAGAACAGCATCAGCGCTCCACAGGAGGAAGAAGAAACTGGGGCTCGTCCCACGCAAGTGGGAATCCAGGGAGGACGAGGAAAGCCCCCGTTAGTGTGTGCAAAGAAGCAGCTGTGTTCTCCTGAGCTCGAGGTCCTGCCCGAAAACGCCTGTGATTTCCCGACCGGCAGCTGGTTCACCGGGGCAGGAGTCACCACCGGCTGTGGAAAATTCACACCTGAACTAGAGAGGCCATCCACTGAGTGCCCCCCAGCTGGGGAAGTTGGGGTGCACTCTGCTACTGTAGAGAACCCCCGTCCACAAGCTTTCATGGAGCTGACAGGTTCTGGGCTCTCCACCACTGAAGAGATGGACATGGAGAGGGAAGAATGGGCAGACGGGGATCCCCAGGACCCCAGAAACGTGCACACACTCGATACCACATTGAGCAGTGGCCCAGAGGCGCCCCCTGGCTGTGAGGAGAGACCTGTGCCTTGCGACTCGGAGTTAATCGAGTACTGCAGCACTCAGGTGAGTAAACAGTGTTTCTGGTTAAGAAATTGATTCCGATTCAGTCATTGTGATGTATCTCTTCATCCTCTGTGTCTGCCAGCACCCTGCACCCTCTGCCTCTTACTCTCTTAGGACTGCCCAGAGTTACAGAGCCCCAGGACCATCGCTGCAAGCTGCCCTGAGCCTGGGCCTGACCCAGCCTGCAGCCGTGTCAGCTCACTGCCTGACCCCCTCTTGGAAGACATGGCTCTGTGGTGAGGGAGAGACAAGGAGACTGAGGGACAGGGGTAGACCCATTGTCAGCACGAATCTTCTGTGACTGTCTCTTGTCTGTCTGACTCTTGCTGTGTCTTTTTTGAATTATTTAATTTAATTATATTTATAATAGTAAAACATTGCATGCATTCAATATACCTATTTAACATGAAGGTGTAAATAAAAGTTATATATAATTCAGTTCATTAAAAGAATTTCAATGCAACGGACTGTACACAAGTACAGTATATATATTCACTTGCACACCTACTTGAACATCTGCGCTTCTCTGAGTGTCTCTCACTGGGTCTGCCTGTCCACCTGCAGTGAGATAAGGACTACCCCAGACCCTCCCAGGGAGCTTGAAGACGCCACGGAGCGGGTGTGCGGAGTAATTGCCGAGCTGTCGCAGCTGAAGTGAGTGTCCTTTCAGAAATGACTGTGGGGAGGAACAGTCCTGTTTCTCCAGCAGGCAGCCCTAGAGTCAGGGAACCCGTCTCACACAGGCGTGCACACTGCTGCTGGTTACCCTAGATCCCCCTCCCCTTTCTAAAAGGACACTTTCTCTTTCTCTCTCCCAGTCGGCTGGTGATGTCCGCCCACCGGGAGATGGAGGGCGTGAGGCTGGCTTTGAGACGCAGACAGCAAAGTTTGAGAATGACCAGCAGGAGGGGAGCGTTTGGGCTGCTTCACTCCTAGAATTGCAGTAGAGCAGAGCGCACCCTCATCTCTCCCCGAGAGTGAGCACAACATGGTTTCCGCTCTCTGAGACAGAATTTAATATACCCCCTCTCTTCCTCTCCCCAAGACACACGGCACACTCTCCACTCCTCTCAAGACACACGGCACCATCTCCTCTCCCAAACTCCTCTCCTCAAGACACACAGCACACTCTCCTCTCAAGACACACGGCACCATCTCCTCTCCCCAAGACACAAGGCACAATCTCCTCTCCCAAACTCCTCTCCTCAAGACACACAGCACACTCTCCTCTCCTCTCAAGACACACGGCACCATCTCCTCTCCCCAAGACACAAGGCACAATCTCCTCTCCCAAACTCCTCTCCTCTCTCCTCCCCAAGACACACAGCACACTCTCCTCTCCCCATGACAGATGGATCTTGACCAGCTCTTGAGTTGTACTGGAATCTGTTTTCCTCCAGGAGCCCATTGTCCAGGTATTAGTTATTGTTTGTTGATTGTTCGTGATGTTTGATAATTGGCTCATTTGAAAGAGAAGTGGCTTGGTACTCTATTACCGTCATGAGTGATTATTGGGTTGTTGATTATTAACAGATTTCATTGTTCCCTACTCTCTTTACACAGAAGCTGTTAAAAATATCTCTAGTGGTTGTTAATTCATGAGTTAAGGTAAAAAATAAACATAATAAAGCTTTTTTATGTTAGCTAGGACTGGTGTCTTACAGATCTCAGTGTTTCTGAGTGTGCGAGTCAGTGCGTCTGTGTTAAAAGTTGGTTATGTGTAAGAAGGTTAGAGTCGATATGTTTGTGTTGTTTTGGATCCTGTTCCGTATGAGGGCAGGTTCACAGTGCTCAGCCAGAGAACAAACCAGCCCATAGACCCCCTCCTATGGGAGAACTACAGCGAGCCTAGAGGAATCCTTGAGCACCCAAACCCATAAACGCAGGATCTCAACTGTCGGTATTGTGGAATAAGGTATAAAGCAGATCCTCAAAATCACTACAAGATGAAGGGGTGGGGTCCGGTACTGATCACTACCCCTTCTCTTCAGAGGTGCTTCCTGTTGGCATCAACAGAACTGAAATAGCCGAGCAGGAGATCTAAAGTGTTTGCAGAACTGGGATGTTCACCCACAGAGGGAGACCAGATACCACAGACCCTGGAATTTCCCACATCAATCCGGTGAAGCTTTTGTGACCAGCTTTGTACTTGGGAGTTAATTGATGAAGAAAGACATAATTGATAATAATCACAGAGTTTCTCTCTTGAGAGAGCCAGTGGACCTGGGAGCCACTCCCCTGCCATTGATGGGGCTCAGCTCTGCCCGAGACCTCTGAAGGGAAGTGGCTGGGGAAACGAAGTGGCTGAACTTTGTCATTGACCCGGCCAGGACACTGCTGGGAACTTCAAACAAACACTACTGTTAGAAGTCAGATAAGAACTGATAACTGATATCTGTGAGGAACTGTAACATATAGACAAGTATGGGGGGGGCTGTACTGATCAGTGACCCCTCACCTTTGAAAGGAGAGCAGCAGTGAGGCATATTGTGGCTGCTAGAGACTTCACTGGAGTGAGGGCCTCAGACGCTGAATCAACAGGATACTCCAGAGAGAACAATTCAATTAACGGGCTGCAGAGAGTGGCGATACTGGATACCGTAGGTTCTAGTTCGCTCGGAGACAGAAGCCACAGGCCTGGCCACAGGGGTAACTGGACGGCTTGTACTGGCAGAATACCGGACTGTTACTCAAGTAAACCTCTGACCCCCTGCATTTACACTACTGTTTACCCTCCAGGACACTGCAGCGCCCGGAAAGCCATTCCAGGCTTGTATTGTCAGTGCCAGTCGGCGTGCCCGGACAGCTCTGTTGAAGTTGGTGCAGTCTGGCAGAGCAACTCCAGCAGCAGGAATCTGGGGGCGCTCAGTGACTTCCTCGCGGCCCTGCCAGCTGGAAGGATTAAATTGCCGACGCCGGGGGGCACTTTTTACGGTTTTATTTTGTTTGTTTATACCAAAAAGGGTTTTTGACAACCGTACGGATCACATTAACAAAGAGACAACACAGTCAAACGCAGAAAACAGTCCCCGACTCGGACAACGTGCAGTAGCGACCGTCCATGTGGCCCCCAACAAGTCCCCCCCCAACTCTCGCGTGCACCGCTGGGGCTCCCAAACCCGCTGGGTTCCCCTCGTCTTCGCCAGGTCCGCGCCAAGCTGGCCGCACACGAACTGGCTCGCCGATTCCACAACACCACGGCTAAAATAAGCAAGGCAACAGTTTAAAATAATTCCTCTCGGACACTTTAAAAACGTCCAGCAGCTCAACCGGATGCACTGCCAGGGGCCGGGCCCCCCCTCACTTGCGCAGCCTCGAGGGACAGTGCTTCAGGGTGTGGGCCGTGTCTCCGGAGGCGTGGCACACCGGGCACACGTACCTCCGCAGGAGGGGACAGGACACCTTTCCCAGCTCGTCCCGCAGGCTGTGGGAGAGGTAGACGCTCTCCGACTCCTTGTTCCGGAAACAGAAGTTGCAGCGCCGCTGGGCCGCGGCCGGGGGGCGGCTCTCAGCCCGGCGGGGCTCCTGTGGGTTCCTGGGGGTTGCCGGCGCCTCCGCACCTCGCGAGCCGGTGTTCTGTCCCCCAGCCCGCTGGGTCAGCCGGGAAGTCTGCCGTGCCTGGGGGTCCCTGGGCAGCTCCAAAGCCCCGCTCCCGGGCCAAGCTGCTCCAGGGCTGGACACCCCGGCCACTGTCCCACTGTCCCCCGCCTCCCCCGCAGCCTCCGGACCTCTGGAGCCGCCTCTTTCCTGGGGCACCAGGTCGGACCGGATCTCCATCACGAGCTTGGCGAGACCCAGGTAGTCTCTGGACAAGTCGAAAGTTGGTCTCCTCCGATCCATCCTGGTTCACCGTAGAATCTCGTACGCAGGCAGAGGGGTGAGACGCAGAACTGGGGCTCCGGTCTGCAGAAAGGGGGGAGAAACACAGGACTGGGGCTCCAGAGTGCAGAAACGGGGGGAGAC